ATGGTGACTTGCAGATCACTTCTAGGCATGCCTGCAGCTTCCCTCTTCCAGCCAGAGCACTAGCCACAGGGCCAAGACTGTGCAGCAGCCTCTGTAGTGCAAGCCTACTGAGTTAATGGACTGGAAGTCTCCTCAAAGGGGCTTCTTTTGAATGCATAGGAAACTGTTTTCACTTAAGGAAAAAGAACATAAGGGGGTCCCCAACTCAGGTACCTGTGAAAATGATAATCCCATCCAAGAGGTCAGAAACACCTCTCCTCCTCTATACCACTAAGCCGGTGTTGTGTGCTCTACAAACATGAGAGGACCAAGAAGCACACAGAGCCTGGAAAGGGTGATGAGACATGGCGTGACTCCTGCACAAGGGCACACAGTATAGGATTCTATCAGAGCTTTGCCACTGTCGCAGCATATGCAGACTCAACAGCACCCGCAATGCTAAATGAAAGTGACATCGCAAGTCTTCTTGGGGTCATCATTAACGAGGAGAGGCTTCCCATGTACCCTCAGCCTCTGTCTCTGCACACAGCTGTATCCTAACAGTGAGAAAGACTGCCAGAGATGGAGCATAGGCAAAACGCCGAGGACCACACTGCAGAGGGCAGCAGGGCTCATTTTCTTTTACAGAGAGGCTCTGCAAGTTTGTTTTACTTCGTGCCCTTTTGTGTCTTCGCTCTAACGCTGAAACCATTCTGTACACTGGATGGTTGACGGTCGTCCCCAGTCCAGGGAGCCACAACTCCCTCCGTCAGAACCCTGGCACACGTTTTCACCAGTTCCCTCAAACCAAGCGTACAGACCAACATGCAGCTTGGGCTTGCCCAGGAAATGACACCTCGGAAGAGGGGCAGGAGTTGTTTACTGTTTCATACAACTAGAACTTTCCACGTGAAGTTATTCCCATGAAAGCCAAAAAGTCATTTCCTACATGCACATGTGCCTTTGTGTGCTGGAAGGAGGGAAGGAGAAGGACATGAATTGACATCTCAATCAAAGGGAACCTTTAGTAGAACTGGATGCAAATAGCAAAGGCTTACAATTCTTTGACTAGTTTTAACACCATTGCCCTGCCCCTAACCCATCCCGCCCCCCCAAATTCCTGCATCCCGTGAGCTTTCGGGTGAAGGTGTGCCTACTAGGTCAGTGGGGAGAGCCTATATGGGATGTGACCCTAATTTGGACACCAGTCCCTCAAATACATTTGGTCTCCATCGACCATGCAAAAAAAAAAAAAAAAAAAAAAAAAAAAAAAAAAAAAAAAAAAAACCCGCCAAGGATAGGAGTGGGGCCGTTAATATTCAGAGATCCAACTTAATAATTTTCTGATTAAACTTAACTCATGGGTTGGGAAATATTCTCTCAGCACACTACACAACTGGAAAAATGGTTGGTCATAACCTGTGCTCAGTTCCGCTGGTGTGCAGTTGAGGTACGAGGAAGCAGTGTGCCCATGAGCATAGGCGGAAATGTGGTGGAGCACAGTCATCCTAGATACCTGAATTATAGGCCAGTGATCCCTTTCACACCACACACATACACACTGCACGGCCTTGTACCCAAACCAACAGACTGCCAGAGTGAATCACTACTGAGTTCGGACTGGGTATGGAACATAGCCTCTCGAAACTGTCCTTTGGGCAGTTTCCAGTAAGCCTCCAGAAGAGAGGACAGTTCTATACCCAGATGCCAAATAAAGCACAAAATTTCCCGCTGAAGACACCAAACATGTGCCCTTCCCAAATGTAACATCCATACATGTATTCTGGACTTGAGATAGATAGGCAGGGGGTACTGATGGGAAGGGGAGAGCCTGGGCTGTTTGTATAGAACACATAGCAGCTGTCTTATCACATATGTTCTATTTGTTATTTGCCTCCATCTTTACAGGGGTAACATCCAAACAACCAATAACTACAGGCTTAGCATGTATACACGAAGAGAAATTACATTTCTCATTCTCCAGCCTCTCCTTTGGAGAGTACTTCATAGTTTTTGGAACACCTTGCCCACATACACTATCTTCATAGAGGGTCTTCTGTGACATCATTTCAAACCTGCATCCAACACTCAGGGAAGGGGTTATACACTCTCAGTCCAAGGTCATGCTTGGTTCTCAGTATTACTGTGGTTTGATTCTTGTGAATACATCTATGCACACACCAACTCGCACACCTGTTCCATCTGGTTGCTCATGTATCTAAGACCTCTGAGCTGTCTAATTCCTGTTGTATGAAGAGTTTCTGTGTGAAAATCAAGTAAAGTGCAAAGGAGTGCTTTTGAGGGGCATTTCCAGTGGCACAGAAAAGGTGCTGTCTATGGCATCCCCAAGCCAAGAGCATACATGTGTCTTCGAGGGCAACCTTAAAGGCCAGGATTAAGCCAAAACGTCATGCCCTCATAGGGATAAAAATGCCTGTCTTCTCCTCCTCCCTGTCAGCTGTGCTCATGAAACTTGTAAGATGTGTGCGTGCTCACACTTGGGACACACACAACCACACACACGCACACGCTCTCATTCACAAAGGTGCAGGAGGTGGACACTGCAGCAAAACTGCGAACAGACTCCACGGCCCTCTTGCTGTGTACTGCGGGTAAGCTCCTTCACCTCCCTGAGTCTCTGTATCCTCATCTCTACAAAGGATGTGTAAATGCTTCCCACATGCTGTGGCGAGGTTTCAGTGAGTGCCATAAAACGTACCATTCAGTGCCAATCCCATGAAAGGCACTGTGCAAACAACAGGGAAGCTCCTTTACTGGATACAGATCCAGCGCCTGCAGTTTTAATACAACCATAAAGACATAGCAAGGTGCCATACAGTGGCAACCTAAACGAATGAGATCCACATGCAGTTTCACTGGGAAACTTGTCAGAATAAGAGAAATCCCACTTGTCTATCTGTTCTTTAGCACAACGAGTCCGTTGTAGTAGAGGCCCTGCATCCACACCTGTATCAGTGAGCCAACCTTCTGTTCCGATGGAGAAGTTAGTCCAGACAAACCCTTGACAGAAAAGACCTCACCATAGTGATTCTCATTTGACTTCTCAGCTCTCTAACAAGATCCTAAAGGGTTAGGATCTGGGAAACGGGGCTTCTGGGTTCCAAGAAGGGGACAGCGGTAAGCAGTGCATGTCAGAGAGACAGGCAGGGGTGATGGATCTCCCATGGTACCAGTGGTCACGGAGGCCATGGGCATAAATTTCCCCTCAGACATGATAGATGGTTTCCGGAAGTCTCCACTTGTGCTGTGAGCTTGTGTTAAATACGCTCTGTGAACTTAGTTACAGAAAATTACATGAAATCCCCAAAGATGGTACTGAGTCTAGAAGACCTCTAGCCAGCAACTTCCTCATATTACAGAATCCAGTGTTTAGATGCAGGGTTCCAGAACACTAGCTAGCTGAACCAACACGCCAACCAAATCTGGTTAAAGCTGAAACACACACACGTGAGAGAAAAAGCCTACTATGAATTTCCCCTTCCCAATAAAAATCTATTGAAAATCATCCTCCCACAACCTGCAAGTGGACCTTTCCAACAGTGTTCCTTCTCTGCACATTGTAACCCGAGAAGCAAGCATAGCTAGCGCATGTTGATCATTGCTTGCCTAGAGACAATGACAGGGGAGATACCACTTGAGTGAGTAGCAGGCGTGAGATGGACCGACAAGGAAGGGTTATGCCCCCATAATAAAGGCATAAAGAAAGGTAGGCATACAATGAAATTGATAAAGACATGGGGAAATGCAAGAATGAAGTGGACTCTTTTCAATACTCCTTTTCAGTATTATTTTTAGATGGTGTTAATGGCACTTAAGCTGCAAACAACTTAAAACCATTTCGATCTTAATAGACAAGGATTGGGTGAGAGATTCACTTTCCTCTTGTATGGAAATAGATTGAGTCTCATAGCTATGTCTACTCTAAAACACCCAAAAGGACAAAAAGCCCTGAGATGAAAAGATGCCAGGGTCCTCCTTGATGTGTCTCACAAACACAAGATGTCTATTTTTACTTTTATTTAAAAAAAAAATTAGGATCAGCTAGACAGAGCAGCAAGCCACTGGCATCATGCAAAAGGCAATAATTTTGGTATTTCCTCCCGCCTATCAAAAGAAGTTAGAATGAAAGTGTTCCCGTAGAAAAGTGAGGATGGATGCTCCAAAATCAGCTATTTTCACCTTCACACCCGCTGAAGAAAATACATCTGCCTTCCCACCTGGCAGTAGCTGAGGTGGCGCTTTCACCAATGCTTGCCAGCCTGCCTGAACTACCTATCCCGTGAAAAGGACGAAGTTCAGTAGGCTTCTCCCATTGGTTAAGGAGATTGCCACAGTGGGAGGAGTCTGTGATATTTTTTTAATGAGAAAAGCAATTGCACCTTTATTAAACATGTGCTCTGATCAGCTTCCAACAAACTCCAGGTACCCTTGGGTCCCAAGAACATTCGTCTGGAGTAGGAGTTCTGTGCCGTGGCCTGTCAAAACTCAAGCTGAGGACATGCCAAAAATGTTCACTCGAACCCTAGTTAAAGTAACTAGGCCACCTGTGAACAGCTGCCCCCTTGGTGTGTAACCTATCACTAAAGGAAGGTTGAGGAACGGAGACTCCGTCCACAAGACAAGCCTGTCCTCTCAGAGGCTAGTCGAAGGAATAGCTGCCCTTGTCTACGTCCCACGTCAGAGTGGCACTGTGTGAGGGCTATAGCCTGCCACTGGAGCTCCCCTCACGGGGACAGGCGACACCTGCTACGTGTGCACAAACTTCCCCTGTGTCCTGCCGCCACCATCTGAAATGAAGCTCTTATCTGATTCCTTTTGGCAGAGCAAGCTTTCAGTTGTGTATGGCACAGTGAAATATATTCTTCAATGTTATGTAATTTTGGACTAACAAGTCTATTTAAGGCACGTGTCTCAGTGTGAATATTTTAAAAAGGAAAAAAAAACGAAAACAAAACAACAAAACAAGACAACACTTAGTCCAACTCCAGTGTCTTTATCATTCACTCTCTGTCTTGAAGTAATGAGTTGTTCTCCAGCCCCTGGTCTTTGGTGTCCGTGGGTACCATTCCATTCTCCATCTCAGCTTGCTGCTGTATACATTCCGTCAGCATGGCTGTGCTGGAGTTGTCTGAGTTACACATCTTTTCTGTCTCCTCCTCTTTCTTCTCTTCATCCAGAGAGTAATTCCGAAAGGTCTTATAGATTTTCTGAACATCCTCTGGTAAGGTCTTTTTGAGATCTTTGTTTTTCCTCTTGGTGAGTTTGGAGGTGGACCCAAACTTGTTGATGATGTTGTCCTCAGAAGCGCCTTGCCCATGCTTGTTGAGCTGTTCTGACCCCTTAAGGCGCAGGTTGTTGGGTCGGTTGTTGATGCTTTCCTGGGATGAAGCCTTGAAACGTCCCGTATCCAGGGCTGCAAAGACAGAACGCTTCTCTGGGGATAGCATGTCCAGAGAGTGGGCCCTCTGATCCAAGCCCAGCCTCCGGCGCTCCATACTGCGGATGGTGGCTGCTCGCTGCAGCTTGTCATGGATCTCAACGCTGAGTCGCCTTCTGGTCTCCCGGAACTCGGCGGTGACGTTGGCTTTCCACTCGGCTGCATGGGCTTTGATCTCACCCACCTGGACAAGACAGAGGAGCAAGAACAAACTAAGAAATCCCCCCCAGCTTCATGCTTCTCAGAATCCCACAGCCCTCAGGCATCCCAGGAGGGAGGCTGTCTCTGGGGGGAGATGGAGCAATGATAGTCTAAGGAAAGAGAAAACACTTTGTCTGTTTTCTCTGGTACTCCTGCCATCCAGTTAGTCACCCATGTTGGACTGGCTAGTGATGGACCAATGAAGTAGGGAGAGCCTGGAAATTATGACTGAATAGAGGCAGATAGCATCTAGAGGAGAGGACAGGATTTGGGTTCCACTTGCTCTCTCTCTTTCTGTTCATTGTAAGGCCCCATTTTTTTTTTTACACAAATCTGTCTCATGGAATTTCTATCATAACATTAAAGGCCACACTTAACTCAGTCCTGGCCATAAAGTCAGTGCTCAACAAATCTTTGTCCTTTCCTGTCTTTGCCATACTTCTGTCTGGGTAAGATGACCAGCCTGTCCCAGCTTCCTAAATTCCGAAAATTGAGGATAGAACTCCAGAGAAGAGCACCTGCATGTGCAAGGCCTTAGGGGTTGATTCTGGGGTACTGAGAAAGAAAAAAATCCTGTGCCCTAGGAAGTCCCCTAAGTCCTGGGCAAACTGTGATGGACAGTTAGCCCCCCTCTATAGGGACAGTCACGCTACAACCCTGTGCGAAGGGACTTGTCTTGGCTGAGGAAGCCCCTCCAAGGGGCCTGATAACCACATTTCCATGGTTAAGATGCAGGAAAAGGGCATTTTTCACAAAAGCCACATAAAATGCTTTCTTAGAGAGTGAAGTTTTGCCAGAGACTCGTTGCCAAATTCCTTGGTTGCCTAATCGACAGGGCATGAGGTACCCGTATGCATCCTGCTTCCCTATACAGGTGAATGACTCGAGGTTTACTATCTAGCAAAGTCTGTACGGTGTCGCCCTTCTTTTTTTTTTTTTAATCAATATTCAGCGGGTCAGTTAGTCATCAGGGGAATCCGCCTGGAAATGGCCCTGTCAGCATTTACACAAGCTGGGAGCAGTATAAGCCTATGAACTGTGGGAGGGGGAAAGCTCCTTCAGCAGCTGTCTCCCAGGTCCCTTTAGACCAAACGAATTGAGCAGCTACCATTAAAGGAAGTGTCTGTCCCTCTCGTGTCCTTTTTCGCTCCCTCCCCCACCTACGTAATTTCCTCTCCTCACAGAGGAATGACATTTTGAATGTGTCTTTTCTTCTTGTCTTCCTTTTCTTGCCTTTGCAACCTTGGGGAGTCAAACAAGGCTTTTCACCAGGGGTCACATATCAGATATCCTGCATATCAAATATTTACATTACAATTTGTAACAGTAGAAAAATTACAGTTATGAAGTAGCAATAAAATAATTTTATGGTTGGGGGTCACCACAACAGGAGGAACTGTATTAAAGGGTTGCAGCATTAGGAAAGTTAAGAACCTGTGGTTCAGAGTTTCATATAATAATCTAGGAGTGAAGACTGTAGGTATCAGGAATAAAATCTGAGAATTTGACAATGGTGGGACATGGGAAATATGGCCCTCTGGCTGGCCACTGTTCAGTGACTTTTACCTCATGGAGGACAGGCCAGCTTCCCCAGGCTCCCTACAAGTACACAGAGCCTCCCATGTGTCTGCTAACACAGACAACTGTGTTCTTCCTGCAGCAACCATCCACCCTTGCTGGCCATTCCCCCCCCCTTTTTTTAACATTTTTAAGAAGTTACTAAAGGTTCTAGAAATGACTACTGTCCACTCAACTTTGCTTCTAAATAGATGGAAAGAAAATTCATAAAATCCCCTCCTGGACTCAGAAACAGGCATTTCTCAACAAGGGCTAATGGGACGTCACAGACATTTTGGGGATCAGGAAGGAGTCCTACCTCTTCTTTCGTCTTTTTGGATAAAACGCGCAGCCAGTCTCCTATCATACTAAGGACAGCAGCGAAGTAGGCAAGGCCAACAAGGATCCAAAACCACACCAACGGCTTATACCACTCTCGGTAGTTGATGCCAGCATTTCCCCCTGAAAACAAGCAAATGGTACTTTAACAAGCAAATGGTTAGCAGTTGATCTTCACAGAGCACGTTCCAGTTCATGGAGAAAACTATCATTCCATAATCCCGTGAGAGCCATTAGGTTTACAGGATACAAAACATCACAAAAGCTGGAGGCTTGCTTGTAGCTTAATTTCTTTGATTCTTAACCACTAAAAATAAACCTCAATTCTGCAACAGAGAAATGTCAGTAGCCACTTGGAGTTATCTACTCTCACTGGCAAAGAATTGGCCTTCACAGAAAAAGTATCTCAGAAGTCAGCCCACCTGATATTTTGTTTTTACCAAACTTCCCTAAATTTACCTTACCACTGTGAGGGTTCAGCATGGCAGTACACCCTGTCACTCAAGCAAAGACAGGAGGATCCACTGTCAATTCAAGACCAGCCTGGGCTATACAGTGAGTTCCAGGTGAGCCAGAGCTACGTAATGAGAACTTGACTCTTCAAAGGAGAGAAGGGAGGTGGGCAGGGGGAACAAGAAGACAGAGTGGGAAGGAGTAGGAGGTGGAAGAAGGGGAGAGAACAGGGAAGAGGGAGAAGCCAGAATGGGAGGGGAAGGGAGGGTAGAGGAAAGAGTAGAGGCAGAGAAGGGGAAGAAAGGGAAAGAAAGAGTGAGATTTCAAGCACTTGGAATTGTTTCCTTCAAAATTCTGCGTGCATTTACCAAGAAAACGAGTGGGTAGAAAATGAAGTAGAATTAGATTTGACAACGTTACTGAGACTTTTACCTGTGAAGTAGCAATCCAATGCTAACGTGAGAGGGATGGTGTTTACATGACGCTCATCCTGGGGTCAATTAGGCCAAGCAATTAGAATCACCATATCCTAGAGCTAAACAGTACCTGTGAGACCAACTAGTTCAATCTCATCATCGTATAAATAAGGATTACAGTAAAAAAAAAAAAATCCATCAAAACAAATTGGCCAGTTGCCTAACGGTATTGACTAGCTATTCCAGTGAGAGAAATGGTCATTTATTCCAAATAATTAACCAACTTGTTCGAGCCTCCGTACCAGCACTGCTGAGGGCACCACTCACTCACCCAGAGAGCAGGCAGGGTGCCTCTAAAACAACTCACATTAGGACACTGGGTGACGAAAGATCTCTAGCCTTTCCCCTTGGGTCATGGTTACCTCCATACCTGGCATCATCGAAACTGTGCTGAGCTCTACTGTGTCAAGAATACCTTGAAAAGCCTGGTGCACACCCACTGGGACCCATGGCTCTTAATAAATCCAAACCTACTCTAAGACACAACCCATGAATTCTACGGCAACAAGAATAGGTCTGGAGATGTGCCTGAGGGGTCCTCATGCAGAGGACCCACAGGTGAATGTAACTCACATTCTGGGGGATTTGACATCTTCTTTTCTGAAGGGCACCAGGTACATGCATTGTGCATATTCATAAGTACAGGAAAACATGATAGAAAAAAATAGGGAGGAAAAGGATTCCCAGCTCTGGCACAAGGTTCTGAGGTGTCTGGCGTCTCTTTGCTTTGGCTCAGGTGCCTTCTTTTTCTCCCCTGCGGCTAACCTTCTTCAAAATTGATGCTAATTTCATTTTCTTTGTGTGCTGGACTCATTTCTTTGTGCTCTTTCCACTTTGGACTAAGTATCTGCCTTTGCAAGTCACTAGAACCCAGACAAGATTGTCACTGGGGCAGACACTAGCCAACAACACAGACCACATCCTTCTGTGTAGACATTCATCAGCCATGGCCAGAATGGCAAGCTCTGTGTGCAGTCCCAACTCAGAGCTGTGAAATACTGCAGTGCCACTAGGCTGTCCCCAAGTGGGTCAGCTGCAAAATGAAGCAACAATCAATCCCAAGTGGTTCGCATTTCCAGTCGGATTCTAGTAGAGATGATACCCAGTAAGATCACAGTGACCACCAGCTCTTGGTCATATACATCATTTGAATAGTCCAGCAATCCTCCCTGTCAGTCAGAATATTGACTCTCCAAATCCACAAGTTGTCTGGGTGAATTCAACCAGAGGTGGACACGTGCGTGCCTTTTTCTTATCAGTCGCTAAACACTGTAGCTTGCTGACTGTTTGCATAACATTCACATTGCATTAAGTACAAGACATCTGCACACAGATGGTTTAACATGCACAAGACAATGCGTGTCAATTCTGGGTAAACGTTACATTGCTTTTCATGAGGGGCCTGAGCATCTGCTGATTTTAGAGTCTACAGGATTCCCATAGTCAATCCTCTGGAGGTACCAAGTGCACTCTATTAATAAATACACTGATGAAAACACCCACTGAGTACATTTTCCACAAATACTCAACAGGTCGATCCACGTGAGCTCTGGGAACTGGACTTTGGGAGAGACTGAATGAACAGCCCAGCAATTTCAAAAGCACTTGCTGCACAAGCATGAGAACCTGAGCTGGGATCCCAGCACCCGCCTCCCAAGCTGGACATCCCATGTATGCCTGTTAGCCCAGCTCCAAGCAGGACAGAAACAGAAACATTACTGGGGTTTGATAGCTTCTGGTCTAAACAACAACAAAAAAAAATCTGAGCCCCATATTTAGGGAAAGACCCTGCCTCAAAAGAGTGGACAGAGAATGACAATCAAGGACACTCAATACCTGCACCCACACACATGTGCTTATGCTCCTACAGACACACATATCACATATGGATAAATTAAAGAACATGGTGCATTCCGTCAGCATTATGTATGCTAAGAGATCTTAGTCTATGGAGGCCTCTGAGTGAAAAGGAAGTACAGTTCTGTGATCTCTAGTAAGGAAGAGACCCACCCAAACGATAGAGGTCTGAGGATAAAGGGCCAGCATGTACCAAGAGTTCAGTCCACAGCAGCTAGTAATAATAACCAAAAAACATAAGTGGGCTTTGAACTTTTCCCTCAGCTCACCAGGCCACTCCCATTTTTAGGAGCACTTTCTCTTGATCAACAGTCAAGAGAAAAGCAGGGAGGAAAGACAGAAACATTTGGCTAGTTCTCACAGTCAGAGCTGTCCTTTGTCCTGACTGACAGGTTGGCCAGAACTATTGGTTGGAGAGCGGAGAGCGGGGTCTGTCACCAGTGTGCAAGCTGTCTTTAGTCCTCAGGTCAGTGATATTAGCCCAGACAGCGTCAAAACACCAGCCCTTGCAAATGCCCCTGGGAAGTGTTTGACATTGGTGTGAAGCAGCTCTTCCTCCTCTGCTCTCACAGGTATTTCTTCTAGATTGGAACCTCATCTGACTTTCCCCAGGGACCATCGTCTATGGATGATACAAAGGGGCGGCCTAAATATGCTTCTAGAATGAATATGCTTATATGCTGAAAGTTGTTCTTTGCAGCTCGGTTTCTCCCTCAAGCTTTAGAACTCCATCCAGACAACTGTGGTTGGGTCTTGTACACAAGAAACAACTGGGGGGGAGGGGGGATCCTGTGTCTGGTCAGCAGAGACAGGGACTTTCACCTCAGTGTGAGGAGCTTTCCCCTGCCTGCTTCTGTAGACCAACCTCCGTGTCAACTGCTCTTGAGTCTGATCTTTGGCTGATTATGGCCTTTATCAAGTTAACTTGGGAAACCTTAATGCAGTTGAGAAATCAAAGATTCAGTGAGAAATTTGTTTCTCCCTTACAGAATTCATGCAGTGATGACAGCCAGTAAGTCAGCATCTTGAGGGGGAGGGGCCTGGCTTTCTTCTCAGGCAGAAAAAGTAATAAATAAACAAATAGCTTGATGCTGCTCATATCACACTGAGTTGACAAACACTGAGCCATTTCTACTTACCTCCTCTGCAAATACCTGTTAACATGATTTTGATTCTTCCCAAAGCTGCGGACCTGGACCAAAGGCCTTGGGAATGCTGGCCAACCAGATTAGAACAGGGCTAAATCCCAACACCCTGGCACCATGATTTGGAAAAGGACACCCAACAGAATGTTTTTCCCACCAAAGCTCAAGTGACTGCGAAAGTCCAGGTTGCTTACCTGCCACAAAATCACCAAAGCCTACTGTAGTCAGGGTGACCACCACAAAGTAAATGGACTCCAAGGCTGTCCAGCCCTCGATGTATTTAAAGATGACAGCGGGGATCGTCACAAACACGATGCAGCCAGCCAAGATAAACAGAATAGTGGAGATGACCCGGATCTTGGTCTGACTCACTTGCTTTTTCTAGGATGACAAAGGAATAAGAGGAACAGATAAAGTCAGAGACAGTATCCTGGATTCAGAAGACAGACAAGCAGAAAGGAATGTTACGTCTGTTGTTTTTAACTTTTCTCCAGTCATTAACATGTGTGTAGAAAGAAATGTGCATTCAGACATTTCCTGATGGTCTATGAAGACCCCACATTTGAAGTTGGAGTCTCTATGTGCTTTGCATGATCCCATTACTACAGCCCAATTCTGATCGGATCACTGGTGTGATTGCAATTATTTCCCAAGATCTTGCAGACATCGTTTTATATGTTACCTAATATACTGGGCATCTGACATTTGGGGCTCTTCACACATTGGCAGGGTCGAGAATAATAGGTTAGGAGAGGGAGAAATGACATTGGTTTGCTAGAGGCAGTAAGATCGTCACCCACATTCTTCGTGTCTCCCAACAAATGAGGGGAAACAAAAGAAAATGGAGCCATAACAGAAAAAAAAAAAAACCACCATCCCTCATTTGTGGCAGGCTCAACCAAGCTTTAGTATATCTCTTTATCCACTGTGAAATGTGTATTACTCTAAGTACATGTTGAGTTGAGTTACTGTTGTGGTCATAATGTGTATTGGCTGCATCAGCATACATAACGGGAGAGGAGTCCAAATGAAAGGTCCTTTTCTAAAAAGTCAGTGGGACCCTCCTTCTGTGCCCACTTCTAAAGGAGCCATCAGTTGGGTAGTAAAAATGCATGCAGACTGGGAATTATATTGATACAAATGAACCACACCAGCATGGTCCAAGGTGGATATGCCTCACCCTTGGTAGGGCCCTCTGATGCACTGTGGTCTAACCTGCCTCGCCTCTCATGGGACTCTTCTCCGGACTCCCAGAACTGATGCTAGAGAAGATGACTCTGTCATTGAGGGACTTGAATGCATTTAATGACATAAATTTATGAAGCGGGTGCTTACCACCAGACTAGGTGGCCTGGCTACATTGCCTAGGTTATTTTTGGCAAGCACTTGGGGACAATGTAGGAAATCTGCTTCCTGTTCTTTGCTCTCAGAGCACAGTCAGGCCAGTTGCATTCATATTCTTCATTTGACTGATATAAAACAGACACCAAGAGGGGCCAAGGGACTTGCACAAAAGGATGCTGTAATGAGGGTCAGAGCCAAGATTAGAATTCTGATGTAATTAAGTCTCAGCCCTGCACTTGATGATGGAAACAGCTCCCAGGTTACTCAACAATTGATCAGCTCAAAGAAAATTGCCAAAGAAAGTTGACCCTCTCTAACACGGGACATCAGATGCAATCCTCCTGAAGAACAGGCCAGCTTGTGTCTGTTATGGAAAGACTATGGATGAAAAGTAGTTGGTGTGTAAACTGTCTGGGAAAGGCTAAAGAAATACAAAGCAAGTCATTCCCTCTGACTACTGGGTGGGCAGTTAGCATATAAAGTGGGAGCAGGCTGAGGGCAACAATTTAACCTATAATGCCTGTCTCCTCATATCCTCAGGAGGGCCTTCTGGGAAAAATACTGATATTGATATAGCAAGATCAATGAAAATACCATTTTTTCCTCGAAGTGTCACAGGAGAGATTGGTCACCTGAGAAGCACAGAGGACGCTCTGGCCATTTTGGAGATTACTGTGTTGAATGCCAGAGCATTGAGGGGAGGCAGCCGAGCCCCTCTGACAGTCCAGGAACTTACTAGTCTGGTTTAGTTTGTAACCAAGAGTCCAAAATGAGATTTCATGGCAGGTTCATCTAATTGCTGGCAAGGGGACTATCACCTCCCCCCTTTGTGTAGATCCTCCTCCTCAAATGCATAGTGAAACTAAAGTGAATTAAATGTTTATGTAATACTTGTCAAGTCCTAGATCAGAATGTGAGCACAACTCTCATCTGAATGAGAATGTGGTTGGCAAAGAAGGGTGGTGAGTATGTGGGACACTGGAATACTATCCGATCTCCTGAAATGGGCAGGAGTAGGTTTGCTTGATGGAGGCGAAGGCAAGTGTATAGCAAAGGCTGGGTACTGGTGCCCTGGTGGCATTGTCTGTTAGAGGGCTCACTGGCAAGGTAGACATTTCTCCTCCTGCTTCCTGCCCACACCAACCAGACTGTTTCTGGACTCCCTGGAATTATGCTCAGAAAATATTTGGAACGTTTGATTATTTGAGGAATTTGGGAGACTTAAGAGATATTTTTGCATGACTATGACTATGTAGAGAGGTATGAAATAATGCATATATCCACAAGAGATGTGAGCCCCAAGTTGTAGGAATGTCTGTTATTCTGGACATTGTTTTTGCGCTCCACTAGACACAAGGACAAATCATCAACTGCCTTCACTGAGCATCAGCTGTCACTCTCAGTCTCAACTCATGTTGTGACTCTATAAGAATATGCTCCTGCTATAGAAGGACAGTCTAGGGATAGACTACCTGAGCCACAATTTGTCCCTACTGCTAAGCCAAGCTTCTCAACTTCAATACAATGGAGACAGGAAAGTCCAGTTTGTGGAGGTGGTTTAGAAGATGAAATCTGTATAGGAGTCAGTGCAAGGTCTCCCAAGTGCTCAGTGGTTGTGAACTGGCACCTTGGGCATGAAGGCTCAAGTCTTCCTTTAATGTAAACAGTGCCAGACTTATTGCTTCTCTTTGCTGATGAGAAATGTCTCCTCCTAGCTTAAGACAACTTCCACTCAGGTTCAGATCACTGACCCTTGTCCCTTCCTGGATACATTCATTACACCACACAATCTCATTTTCAATATTTCCTTCCTCTTTCCTTGGTTCTTCAGTGTCAACCTTATGTGAGACGCTCAGAAAATCTCAGCTCACAACATTGGTAGCAGGATTTTTGCTTGGTTGTTTCTTTGGTCGGTTTGGTTTGGTTTGGTTTTTTGGTGTTTTTTTTTTTTTTTCATTTGCCTTCCTGTTCACTTCCTCCTGGTCCTCATCAACTTTCTGAAACTGCTAAGAACTGGCAATAGCATTTAGGCTGTGAGAAACAGGCTGCCAAATGGACCTGAGAGACCTGAGTCTCACCCTTTCTGTATTCACAAACCCTGTGCCTCAGGCCACTTACAGAATGAAGCTGTTTCCCTGGTGCCATCCCTAGGCAAAATGATATCACGTATGCACCAGTGGTTGTCTGTCTGCATGCCATGTTGTAGCAGAAGTGAGAAAGCTGTTGGGCGTTTCTGTCCCACTCTTGATCCCCACACTCTGTAGACTGGTTAGGACAGAGGACTTGCTCTTCAGCTTCTTCTGCAGAAATTGTCACAAAACACTAGAAAACACCCTTGGACCAAACTAGTTCTTGTATCAACTGATGCTGACTATAGGAACTCTTACAAAACTCAAAGCCCATCTCGCTGTGTGCAGCTCTACTAAGAAACAGGAGCCTCATAAGCAGGAGGAAAGGACCAGCTTGGATAAGAATGTGTGCTTGCAGCTCTGTTTACTTATTTCAGCCCTCAGGAGGCCAACCACATGTCCAATTACTGTGGGCACCATCCCTTGCTTGTTTGTGTTTATAGAAACAATGTTATTTTAGAGAGCTTGCAGATATTTCTGTTCATTCACTGGCTATTTTTTTCCATTTGATTTTTTTTTACTCCTTTGTAATAATACCTGCTTTTCTCCTCATGTTTATGAGATTTCTTAGAATTTTGACATACACTATCCAGATTGTTCTGTCTGCCTTAGGAGTATTTTTAGTGTGTGTTTTTATCCAGGACATTGGAGATTTTATTCAAAGACATTGCAACAAAATTGCCAGAAATAGGAGCTAGATGTGCGGAGCCCTCTTTTGTGGTATAGCTGGGCTTTGTTGAGACTCACATATGTCACCATGGTAATACAAGTGAACTGAGGATAATTTCTCCCCGTGGAAAGACAATGGGCACTGTCTTGGTAAAGGTCCGCTTTTATTTTCGTTTTATGTTTTCTGCCAATTTTGTCTAAAAGGTCTAAAACAATAGTTCCAACCTGGCAGCAAATAGCCACAAAGCACAAGCAACCCTAGAGACTTAAAAGTTTGAATACCATTGTCCATAATCTCCATGGCAGCAACATTCCAAACACATATTAGTGAGCTCATGAAGAAAAGCCTCCATGGAGACCACGTACAACCCCTAAAGTTCAAATATGCAAATGGACTGAAAGGCTGGAAAAGATTCCATTTCTGTGCTGGACCCTTTTGGGACCTTGAATTACACCTCAGCCCCCAGAAAAAGATGAAGGCCAAAGAAAAGATGAAGGCCGACGCCCCAAGGCCAACGCCCCAGTCTCCCAGGATAAGCTGAAGGCTGTGGGACCCCTCTTCAGGGGAAGTATTAGCTAATGGAGAAACCTAAGTTACACAAAGTTGCTGGCTACAGCCCATTCCCCCACCCATAGTCATACAGAGAGTGTTGACCACCCAAGTTCCCCTGTCAGCTGGGTAATATTTCAGATAGCCCCTGCGGTTAGCAAAGAGTCAGCAAGCTGTCTGGGAGATATAACTAGGGGGGCTGTTGCTATCTCCCTTAGACAATAATAGCCTATCACCTAGTCTTTTATGATATAGGATACATAATTTTATATTTTGAGACTGTAACGTTGTGACTGTTTTGTGGTTTTTGTCCTTATAAACCCCTTACAATAGTAGACGGGGTCCTTTTCCCTACATCTGCTGTGTCAGACTGTGAGGCAGAGGACCCGTGCTAGCCCATACTTTGATACAAAACCTTGCTTTTGCATTTAGGAAGTATGGCTCCATGTTGGTCTTCTTGGGGGGTATTCTAGGACTCGGGCACAACAGACAATCTGTATATCAATATAGATATAGAGATAGAGATGAATAGATATAGATGTGTTACATCCAGCCTGATACATGTCATGGATTGGTCAACTCAGTACAGTTGAAACCCAAAGGAAAATGATGAAATAATATAATAATCCCAGTCCAGAGACTTCCAGGCTTTCTACCAAATGCCACAGATTCGAAGTTGGTATGGCTCC